CCAATGTGCAACGCAGTAGTAAAAATGTATGCAGAAAATGTAATATTTCTTCAGAACCGGTTTTGCACAAAGGTGTTAGATTTCCAATGTCAGTATAATTGAATTTTTGTGACATCTGGATTCAACGCAGTAGATTAACGTATCATATCAACATATTTAAATGCAAAAAAATGTATAATAAATTCAAATTAGATTTATACACATAGCATTGTTGAACAATTTTGAGATCTATAATTATCTGGATCTGAAACAGACACAAAATTTATAGAGAAAGAGATAAAAAAGAAAATTCTTCATCGAAAGCAACAAAACAAAATGTAAAATATATAAAATTAAATATCAGTTGTCATAAAATAAATTTTTTTTTCATGAAATTTTTTTTATAAAATTGAATATTATTTTTTGCGGACGCATCGTAATTTCTAATATTTTGCGATTAATCTGGCATAGCCATAACATATGCGCGGCGGATGTACAATTGAAAGATGGGATATATTTTATCGTGCAAATCTGAGATGGCCGCAATAACACCGTAAACACCATGAAAGCATCGCGCAACAACTCAATATGTTTCCATTAAGTTCATCTTCTGTACTCATCTCCTATCGCTCGTATGTGCGAAACTATTATAGTGCTACGCAATTAAGAGTTCAGATTTGTTCAAGTCTTTTGTCGGTTTTCGCAACCCGCCGAGTTGTATCGCCATACATCTACTTCATATAGCCAGTCAAACGCTTTATGAAGGACAAAGTTACGTTCACCTACCGATAAGTAATGGTTTGCAGCCATGTCAGTGTTAATTGCGTTTAGGATTTGCGTATATAAGCGATTCGGTAGGTAAATCCCTTGGGGTTTTACTAATTGGAGTCAAACCATGTATGAGCATTAGCATCAGCGTTTCTCATCTGTGATATACGAAGGAAATCAATCAAGCGACATGCATCTAAATTGGCTTGTGACCTTGTCGTAATTAATATTGCGTTAAGATTATACGAGATTTTCTCTATTTTCATACAACTTTCGTTTTAACGTCTTAACGAGATAATAAATTTCAAAAAGGAACATTATCTTGAGAGCTTTAGAAATAAGATATCGTTAATCGAAAATGACTTAGTTTCGCTGTTTGTATAATAATAATCCCATAGGGATTATCTATATGGACTTTCAAGTGCAATATATTACTCACATTATGTATATATATCCAAACGTTTCTGTAAGCGATAGTGTAATAAACATTTAAGGAAAAGCAAAATACAATCTAGTAAGTATAACGATAAGCATAAAAATAAAAATAAAAAAATTTGTGAGTTTGATGAAGTATGATAGCGAATGCTAAAGCTTATTCTTTTATTTATTATATATTAGGTGTTGGAATTAATTCGTAGCGTTTTTTAATGAAAGAATGTTATTTATTTCACATGAGCATTAAAAAATACATTAATGAAAGTACTTCCCATCACTTGTAAAACGCTACGAATTAATTCCAATATCTAATATATATTTTAATTTACCGTAAAAAATTTACCGTAATAAAAGAATCGATCTGCGTTCATCTCGATACCGTGAAGATGCTTTTGTGAAGATTGAAGATATTATGACTGAATGACAAAGAAAAGTAGCTTCGGCGACACTTTCTTTCATCGATGACGAGAAGCAAAAGGAAATGAGGAAACTCGGAGCAGGTGAGTGATCGAGGAAGTAAACGGGGAAATCTGCCTCCCAACTGTGAGTACTGCTTTCTCAGCCGTAATATTGGAAGTTTACGAGGTTTGCTGTAATCGAATCTCGTTGTACAGCCACAGAAAGTGCAATCTGCTAGAGGCCAATGCGACGTTGACGACATGTCACGGAAATGTGAGCCTTACCAGAAATGACGCGTGATATACTATAGTTTGATGACGTTTTAAACAAACGAGATTTCGCACTTTCAATAGGAGAAAATTAATTCGAGTCAAGAAAAAGTTTATCTGCAATGTTACGATTTTTATCACTAAAATTGAAGAAAAAAAGAAAATATTTCTTTGATTTTAATTCTATCATGATTAAATTACAGTTATTGTATATGAGCGGCAAGAAACCAAAAAATGCTAAAATTTACTGTTCTAATTATATCATAATCATAACATACTTGCTACGGCTGCACAGTTAAAATCGAAACTGATACTTAAGTCATAATTTAACCAAGTATTTGTACTTATAGTTAAGTTTCGAAGTATAAGCAGATAATGAGCGGAACGCACGATGGTTACATTACTCTCGCCTTGTGTCGGTTAATTACTTTATATGCACATCAAGGAACTAATTAACCATTCCGAATAAACTTTCGTTTACGATCAATTTCCGCCGCGAAGTGCAATGACCGGGCGAAATATAATACAAAAATAAAATAAAATAAGAATAAATCAACGTAAATATCAATATATCAGGAAATATATCAGAAATACAATTACTAAAAACAAGTTAAACATATATCTTATTTCATATATTAATATTTTAGCGATTTTTTTATATGTATAATTAATATGCATGAATCAATATTCTGCAGGTAAGATACATGTTAAAATAAGTTCATTTTAATGTAACAATTATTCGCACAAATGAAAAGAGTCAAGGGATGAAAATTATAATGATATCCAAGTACCTATATAAATTTATAAACAATATACACAGAAATCGTGAGAAAAATGTTTATCATAGTAATTGCATGGCGAGATAAAGCAGCATTAAGCACTGTTGAAATGATTAAATTATTTCGTGCATCTTACATATTTGTATAACGATTTGTATAAAAACAGCAGCACAAGCAAAATATAATTTTTTAAATTTGTTTTATTATACTCAGTTACTTCAAAAAAATATTTTAGTTTTATAATTAAATTAGTTTTATAAATAATAAAATGATACCATACATCAAGTTAATAATTATATATTAGGTGTTGGAATTAATTCGTAGCGTTTTACAAGTGATGGGAAGTACTTTCATTAATGTATTTTTTAATGCTCATGTGAAATAAATAACATTCTTTCATTAAAAAACGCTACGAATTAATTCCAACACCTAATATTATACATAGATTTTATATATTAATATTATTTATATATATTAGTTTTATAATTTCCTATATTTAGATGGTAATCAACATAGAAGATTTATATTGCATTATAAAGACTGAACAATTTTCTATTGTATAACAAATTATGTGAACTGGTCATAAAAAATACATGTTGCGTAGATTGCTGTTCATTAAAGACAAAAGAATCCTAATTTTATGTCTTTATAACTTTATTTAATTTTTACAGTTTTTTTAAATAGAAAAATACATATATTTTTCTTCAGCCACTGGATATGTATAACGAAATACAAGATTAAGACAGCATCGCAGAATGGTCTTTATGCAATTTCATTGCGTAGCCAGCGGTCTAAGACTTTACAGTTAGATCACTTTATCATAATGCGAAAAAGTGTTGCGAACGTTGAGAGGGACATGGAACCTTGAGAATTCCCTCGCTCATTGTGATTCGCAAAAGAAATAAGGTCTCGTATGCACTCTTCCTGGCATATCAGAACAGAATTTCCCACACTGCTACGGCCCAGTTTTGCATAATGCATCTTCTGAAGAAAAGTTCTTAAATGTCTTACATTAAATCGGAAAAGCAAGAAAATGTCTACTCGATTTTTCAGAAAATTCGTACCTTCTTGTACACATCATTACACAATTGCTGTATTAAATTCGAATTTTGAATTAAAATTTTTTACCTATAAATTTATTATATATTTCTGTGAAACAGAATATATTTTATGAATATTGATCTAAATAGACATTTGATGCATTAACAAACTATTTAAAAATCTAATTATATTATTATAAATAATACATTTAATACAATTTTTTCTTTGTAGCATTCAATTTATTATAATATTTAATATGAATTATAAAATAATGTTTAGCTGAAAAACAGCTTACTAGCTGCAAAAACATAAATATGTTTTAATAACTTTATGTTAACAGATTTTTAAAAATATTATGATACAACGAGATGCAAGATTAAATAATCATAAATATAACCTATAAAAACAATGAATTGTCTATAATAGCGTATATAATAAATTTTAAAGCTATTATTATGATACTTGATGCCACATTCAGCGAATATATTACACAAATCTGTATTCATGACAAGTTTCAAATTTGAAAATTCTATTAAAAATTTGACAGAAGTCGGAAATAGCGCATCTACGTTTGACAGTTTCATTATTTCTGGGGAAAAAATGTTTTACTTTTAAATTACAATCCAAAATGCGAAACTGGCTGCGAAATTTATCGTTGCTAACTTCATGACATTATCCATGTAAGCGTAACGCAATTTCATTTACTGCATCCGGTAACGTCGTTGTAAACATACTGCGGGCGTCTTGCGGCGCAAATAGATGAGCTGTTGAGAGAATTCAGCAGTAAAACAATAGAATTTGCCTAAGTATTCTTTAATTAATTGAATGCGTATCCGTTCAGAGTGAATACATATAACATATAGAGGTCAATTTGTAAAAGTACTATGATTATCGACATGCGATTTAAGTAAATCACACTTTTGAAGCGTACTAAATACTGTAATTTTCAAATAAAAAAAATTGTATCATACAATATAAAGGAAATTTAAGAAAATTTAAACGTGTTCTTTGTACATTAATAAAGAAAAATAAAACTCTTTGATTTAATTATCTCTTTGATTAATGAGATTAATTATAATATAAAATATATTATAAAACTGAAAAATTTGAAATAAATAAATTTAATAATCTTTGTGAAAGTATTGAAACAATCTACAGTTGCATCGTTGAAAAATATTTGGTATCTTTATTGTCGGTTTCTTTATTGTCGTAACTGTCTGGATTACACTTATAATTCGAATTTCTTATAAATACATAATATTAAAAATAATTAACAAATTAAAAACTTGAAGAAAAATTTTATAATTTATTCTTAGGAATATACGCTTTTATTTTTATATTTGCTTGATACATAACGCTTGACTTGATGAAATTTACTAGATAAATATATTTACATTAGCTCCTAAATATAGATTTTTGCTTGAAGATTTTTAAGCAAAGTTTTAAGATATTTTTTAGTTTTAAGACACGATACAATGACACTGCACTTCAAGTTCAAAAATTAATAAGAATTAGTAAGAGTTAAAATTAATAGCCACCCACGAAAGCATAAGCCACGTTAAAGTCATCGTATTAACTGATATCACATTAGCATTATTGCACTCATTTGTATTGCATTGTTTTACAATTTTACATCCATCACTATCAGTACATGTAAAATTGGAAAGAATGCAAGTACGTTCAGTGGCTTCAGTGTTGTTACTGTAATCTAGAAAAAAAAACATTTATTACTAGACATTATTATTCTTTATTGCCATGCAAAAGAAATATGCATAATATATAAATTTGGAATACTTACAATGTTTAATTATAGCACAATTCCATTCTTCTTCTGCATATGTATTTCGTTGAATGTATGGAAGAACACTCCTTCGTAGTCTACTATGGTGGTTTATTGCCACTAAAAAAGTGAAATTTTAATAAATATCGTATATAATACGTATTGTGATAAAAAAATTGAAAGTAAATATAAAAAAACAATAATTATTCTATAATAGAAGAATTTAATTCAAAGAATAGAGAAGTTAATAAAGAATAAATTAAATTTATTAATTAAATTTTTTAAAAATTATTAATTAAAATTTACATTCATTTATACTAACATATTGTGTTAACATTAAAATTAACAAAAATTAAAATTATTGATATTTAAAGTTCTTTCTTATGAAATACGATATAATTAAATTTAACATTTTGCGACACATAATATTAGGTGTAAAACTTTGCTTTCGCCGTTTTCCTATAGATAACTTTAGCGGTAAGTGGTGGTCGAAATAAATAGATCATAGACGTCATACAATAAATTTGGGCATCTATCAACATAATCCCATAGAAACATTAGTGTCTGCATCATAAAGTTATTCTCGATTGAAAATGTCAGTTTACGAGCCAAATTCTCGTCATTTGCGGGAGGTTTTAATTTTCTGCTTCAATATGAAAAAATTTGCGGTTGAGGCTCATCGAATGCTCTCAAATACTTATGGTGAGGCCGCTATTAGTGAAAGAATGTGTCGTGAGTAGTTTCAATGCTTCAAGAACGGTGATTTTGACGTCGAAGATCGGCACAAGTGGAAGAGAGAAGGTTTTCGAAGATGCAGAATTGGAAGCATTACTTGATCAATCTTGTCAAAATCAAAAAGAATTGGCACGATCATTAGGAGTGACTCAATCAGCCATTTCAAAACGTCTCAAAGCCATGGGAATGATGGGAAGCAAGGAAATTGGGTGCCGTACGAGTTGAAGCCGAGAGATGTTGAACGGCGTTTGTTTGCTTGTGAACAGCTGCTTGAAAGGCAAAAACGGAAGGGATTTCTGCATCGCATTGTGACTGGGGATGAAAAATGGGTTCATTATGATAACCCCAAGCGCAGAAAATTATGGGGAGTTCTTGGCCATGCTTCCACGTCGACGGCCAAACCGAATATTCATGGCTCCAAGGTCATGCTCTGTATTTGGTGGGACTAGCTCGGCGTAATGTATTATGAGCTGTTAAAACCGACTGAAACAATCACAGGCGATCAGTATCGAACACAATTGATGCGTCTGAGCCGAGCATTGAAAGACAAACGGCCGTAATACAACGAGAGACACGATAAAGTGATTTTGCAGCATGACAATGCTCGACCCCATGTTGCGAAAGTGGTCAAGACATACTTGGAAACGTTGAAATGGGAAGTCCTACCCCACCCGCCGTATTTTCCAGACGCTGCTCCTTCTGACTATCACTTGTTTCGATCAATGGCATACGACCTGGCTGACCAGCACTTCCGGTC